CCTAGTGGCTAGTACAAATTAGCAAATCTTTTTCTTCTTATTATAAAACGATCTTTATCACTTTTCTATATCTACATGCTGATAATAGAAAAGCAATGATAAAGCAATAGTTTTTGGTTGAATGATCGATCGAGCTACTCCAACAGGTCTTTAGATTTTTTTTATACTGCGAGAATGATTTGGATCCAAAACTCGTCTGTACACTGTATTAGGTCTTTTTATGTTTTCGAATAAATATTCCTTCGAAAATCGGCTGAGAACTAGTAGGCAGGTTCTGGCAGCATGTGCGGCAGATGCGCAACTATGGAAGATAAGGCTGCCAAAGAAAGATGCTGCGACTGCAGAAATTTAGGCCGGTGTTTTCACAAATGCTATGTAATAGGTGCATAGAAAAAAAAAAGTCCACAATGATGTAATTTGGCAAACTTGTAGCCATTCGGCTCTGAGCAAAATTAATGCATATTCAGGTGGGGATTCCCTCCCCCCTTTGATTTTCAAAAAAAAAAAAAAAGGTAACCCGTCGCAGAATCGCCGGGCCCGGGAAAAACGGAGCCTTGCGATCGCAGGCAGGCATGCATGATGAAACGCTGAAAATGGTTTCCTGACACATCACAGTGTAGTGGTTAGTGATTACGGCAAGGCAAGGAGGAGCATGCAATGCATGCTTATCTCCCGCACCCGCAGACGCAGACGCGAAGTAATCACGTATTATCAGTCATCAGACGTCGTCTCGTCGTCCCCGTGACTCCGTGAGGTTGCTTTGGAGCCAAGTCCTAATTAATGGCGCGCCTGACTTTAAGCTTCGTCAGAGATTCGTCAGAGAATGCAGACAAGACTAGCAACAGCAACCGCGTTGCTTTGCTCCATCCATCTCTTTGGCCGCTTCTTCGTACGAAAGACGAAAGAGACGAGCCGATATTTGCAGGCCCGACAGCTGATTATGTATCTCGACGTTTATATTTGTCTGCTCACAAAGAAAAAGCAAAGCGCAATTAGTAGGTCATGGTATGGAGCCACTGAATATGAAATTGCGTCAGGTACCAGCCTTTTTCTCTGAATGGAGCTGCAGGATGGCAAAAGGCAGCGAGGAGGAGCAAAACGGGTGAGCCGGAGCCGGTGACGAGACCCGGCGCTTGTTTTCAATCGCCGGCGACGAGGACTGAGCAACTACCGGGACGTTGGCAACGGCGGCCCTTTTTTTCTTTCTTTCTTGACCCTGGTTTTTTCCCACTACGTTTGCAGTACAGACACAGTGCCAAGTGATTCCCGTCAGAAATGGATGCGCGTACGATTAAAGGTGCCTGCAGCCTGCTTCATCGGCGAATCAGTGCAGTGGTGGTGGCTGATGACTCGTTGTGAAGCTGAACCTGAAGGTGCGAGACAGGGCAGGCACCTTCTGGTCCCTTGTTGATAGAGGAACGGAAAGGCTTGAGCATGTGACTGACTGGAACAGCATGAATCTTTTCTCTCCCCCTAGATAGAATGTGGCTTTGGCACCATTAGTTTCTACTGGTACCGATGTACTCGTACAAGTGAGCTTAACACTAGCGAGTTCTTCCTACTAGGAGTGCTGCTAATAATGCACAGAGTGTGGTCATTCGTAACAGCTTTTTATTACTACGGAAGAAAGGCCAAACAGAGCGGGGGGAGGAAATCATGGAGCTTTGGACGGACATGGCGGAGGCTAGCTTCCGAGGCACGTACGCACGCCGCCCGCCGCAAAGGTGGCTGCTGCTGACGCCGAGCTAGCCCCCACAGGCCACAGCATATGGACGGGTCCAACGGCCCGTGCCCCGTGCCCCGTGCCCGCTCCAGTACCACAAGGACTGTACAGTACAGGGCAGTGACTCCAGGCAGTGGCGGTGAAAAGCCGAGGCCGGGGGCAGCCGCGCAGGTTGGCGTCACATGCGCCGTGTCCGGAGCGTAGCGTGGGCGCAGGGCAATCTGTGGCTCTGTGCTGTGAGCTGAGCTCCGGGCTCCGGTGCACTGGCCGCCCGGTGCAGGCGCAGCGTTGTCGGTGGCTTGCAATGCAACACTGCACTGCACGAGGTCTTGGGAGTGCGCCCGCGGTCCATCGTTTCTAGAGCGGAAAAACCAACCACTTCTCCCGAAAAATTGCCTCCCACGCAGAATCAGAAAAAACAGGACGAGCTCTAGCACCAAACAGCCTCATACGTTTTTGGCGCCTTTTCAAAGGTTGGCCACCGACTCACCGAGGCCGTCTAAACATGTCCCCGGGCGTCAGCAGCCACCCTCCCGGCTCCCGCCTAATCTGTGGCGATCGATCGGTGCTAGGCGTCGCCCCATCGTGTGGCCATCGATCTTCCAAAGGGCGGCCTGATTACACGCGGCGAGGGATAGGGTAGGACTGGACTGAGACGAGGGATTCAGCGACGGGGCGAGAGGGCATGCACGCACTTGTCACTGTCTCCTCTTTAGCATCCATCCATCATCTTCAAATCAAATAAAATCAAAAGAGAATTAGGCAGGACGCAAGCCATCACCCGGGAAGCACGAATAAGGGGGTGTTTGGTTTCAGGGACTAATTTTTAGTCCCTGTCATATCAGATGTTTGACACTAATTTGAAGTATCAAATATATTCTAATTACAAAACTAATTACATAGATGGAGACTAATTTACGAGACGAATCTATTAAGCCTAATTAGTGTATGATTTGACAATGTGGTGCTACAGTAAATATACGATAATGATGTATTAATTAGGCTTAATAGATTCGCCTCGTAAATTAGTCTCCATCTATGTAATTAGTTTTATAATTAGAATATATTTAATACTCCAAATTAGTGTCCTAACATCCGATGTGACAGGGACTAAAAATGAGTCCCTGGAACAAACACCCTAAGCATCACTGCATCAGGCATGGACCACCAGCCCACCCAAGCATCTTTTGTTCCTGATTGGTGAGTTCTTGGCGCCCAGCACGCACGCTGCTGTGCTCCAACCGAGGACAAGCACAAGCCAGTGCCTGCACCGCAGGGTCTCACTCGCTCGTCACCTTGCCACATCGCTCGCGCATCAGTCCAGTCGGCGGCTGCGACGTCCCGGTCGCTGGCCGCATGCTCTCTCTGAGCCTCTGATGATGCTCAGACGGGGCCGCGTGCGGGGAGCTTTGCCAGCGCCACGCCAATGGAACAGTCCTAACGGTCGCTCTCTCACCATCGACGGATACGGACACCGTCGCAGGACAGGCAGGACCATCCTAATGATTCATTAGATTAGCCTGGGAGGGAGATCACTGAACCACACTACAGAGGTGCTGCATCATTGGCCGGCCAGCCCCAGCCACCAGTTGGCGACCTGCCAAAGTATGTGACTGTACCATGGATCACATGCATTCTCAAAGATGTTCATGGCCGTTGCGTTGGTGCCTCACAGTCACAGAAGGGGTTCTTGTTCAGCACACAAGGGGGTAATAACAAGAGATCTTTTCTTTGTTTCAAAAAAAAAAGATGACAAGAGCTCTTTGATTGGCTATTTCATGGGACACATGCCGCTGACATCATGGAACCTGAGATAATGATCCGAGATACGGATGGCATCTGCAAGCTGTTCTATTGCAAATATGGTGTACATAGTCATGAACCATGGGACAAGAACACCACATTACGAACCAGAAGCAAGCATACCACCAGGCCAGAGCATCGCTGGTCCGCAGGCGCGCCAAGGCTGCTCTGGCTTGCCCCCAACGCTTCAATGCATGAGCCGTCCAGCTCAGCTGCAGGCGAATTGAAGCCCCCAGATCTGAATCTAACTGAAACTGTACTCAACTCCGGTATCATGAGGAGGAGGGGTCTACTTGCTCGGCACAGGCCGGCCACAAGGTCATGCTGCCTGCGCACAGGTTTCAGACGCATCCTCTTCTCGAGCATAGTACAACGGTATGTGGAAGTGCCTGAATTGCATTTTTTGCAACTAATAAATGGGCTAGCATTTATTAGACACGCACAAAATTTCTGAATTAGGGCGCGTTTAGATGTAAAATTTTTTAGATCTTGGCTACTGTAGCACTTTCGTTTTTATTTGACAATTAGTGTCTAATTATGGACTAATTAGATTCGAAAGTTTCGTCTCGCGATTTCTCACCCAACTGTGCAAGTAGTTTTTTTTTCGTCTACATTTAGTACTCCATGCATGTGCCGCAAGATTCAATGTGATGGGTACTGCGCAAAAATTTCTGGAAACTAAACAGGCCCTTATTTGCAGCGCAATATAAGCATTGTGCTTTTAAAATTAAAAATATACTCTACAGACTACACTAAGGATCGGTGCCTCAGTAACTGAAATCTCCTACGGCTGAACAATGTACAGGTTGCCCAACTTTATTCAGGGGCGGTTGATGGCGGCCTAACCAATGCTTCGATGGCCAACAATGCGGAGTCTTACAAGGTAAACGCATGGGTGCTTGATGATGGCCGGTCCAATGCTTCAATGGCCAACGTTGTGGAGTCTTGCAAGGTAAACACATCGTTGGCATTAACCCTGCATCACGATTCAAGCAATTTGATGAGTCAGATTCCAAAGCATATGAAGCTGTTTTATCAAAATGTTTATTCTGTCTTTCTAGGAGAACGTCAAGGTCTCTCATATGGGCAACAATGCACAGAAAATTCAACAGGCACAGGCACAGGCCCACCCAGTTAGGAAATCCGAAAGGCCATTCAAGTCCTTAAGCAAAGATGTCAAAAGTCCAAATGGATGGAGCTCAAAGATGATTTCTTGTTGGCACGCATGGAAAGTTTGGATTTGTTAGGATATGACATGTTTGTTTTGGACTCGTCAACTATCCAAATTGTAGAAGATTCATTCCATGTTCTAAGATGAACCAATAAAACCAGATGGGTCGAGAACTAACCCAGATAATAAAATTAATTGAAAAAAGAGGTACATGGCATACGGAGATTCATCTTAAGCATAAAAGATAGGAAATTAATGAAACGAGTTGTAATACCTGCATTAAGAGATTCTACGAGATGAATTCTAATGCATATTAGAAACAGAAGCATCCTGCATTAAAAGAAGACATCAGCCAGAATAAATACAGGGAAAAACACTTTGTACAGACAAGTATTGGAAGCTACTCCCTCTGTCCCAAAATAGAAGTCATTCTCGCTTCCCGAGAAGTCAGCTTTTTCTAACTTTGACCAATTATATATAAAAGAATATTAATATTTATAATACATAATTAGTATCATTAGATAGGTCGTTGAGTAAACTATCATAATAAATTTATTTGGAGACATAAATGTTGCACGTATTTTCTACAAATCTAGTCAAAGTTAAAAAAGTTTGACCTGCACGCATTCCATAACGTCATCTATTCTGGGACAAAGGGAGTACTTACTTGAATCATTGCACTGAAGCTCTGAAGCCCATGGTGATTTGCAGGAGGGGCAGGGACATTCAATGATGACCCATTAGCATTTGTTGCATTGCCTTCATTGTCATCATTTGCAGATTTGGCAGTCCTTCTCCATCGCTTCAACATATATTTTTGAGGCAGCTCTTTGATATTTCTATAATCTAGCACCTTCAACATGTGACAGCATGGGATACCCATAAACTCAAATTTCCTACAAGTGCACAGACAGGAGCAATCACTTGAATCGAATCGAACAAAGTGTTCCTTGGGTTTCTCAGATGAAGCAACCTTGTACTCAGATCTCGACCCAGCCTCCCCACAACTGAATAACACAGAGTCCATGAATAGCTCAAACTCTTTACGAAAGATCTCAAACACCACTGGGGTATATGTATGAGCAGTTTGCTTTAACATCTTGGCTGGGGGTATTCTTGGATAGCTCTGACTAGCTTGGAAGTCAGCTTGCAGCTCAGCATAGCGATGTTCATCCACTGCTCTTTCATAGTGCTTGAAGAAGGACAGCAGCTCCAGTTGAGGACTCAAGAATTTCTTCAAAATACTACTGAAACTCTCGGCTTGAAGTGCACTTATGATGTCAGCACAAAATATATGTCTATCATATGCCAAGGCCCATTGTTCCTTCTCAGCAAACACTTTAGACAACCATTCATTATGTCTAAGATCATACTTTTCCAACATACTTCTCCATGAAAACACGAATTCATCTTCGTCCTCATAGCCAAAGACACATTTGCTAAAGTCCTTTGCAAATGTCTTCGAACCTTGGAAAACATGATTGAGGTGCTTAAGAGAATTCTGATACACATGCCAAGCACAAATTCGTTGAGTGGTACTTGGCCAGGCGGCTGCCATTGCACTACTTAATGGAATAGATTGATCTATCAAAGCTACTGCAGGCTGTTTTCCATGCATAGCGATCTTAAAACTCTCAAAAAGCCACTTGTATGATTCAAATGATTCATCATAAAGCATAGCTGCACCAAAAATAATTGTTTGTTTATGGTGATTCACACCAAGGAATAATGCAAGTGGTCTACCATATCCATTTATTTTGTATGTTGTGTCTAAGCAGAGCACATCACTGAAATAGTTGAAGTCGTCTCTAGATTTTTGGTCTGCCCAAAAGAAGTTAGTCAGTTTGTCATCCTCATCGATTTGCATAGTGTAAAAGAACGAGGGGTTGTCCATTTGCATCGTCTGTAAATATTTCAATATTGCTCCACCATCACCAGGTTGCATGGCCTTCATACGTTTCGAACGGAGATAATTCTTGTAATCAGCTGGGAGGAGAGAGATACTCCGAAGGAAACTGACTTGTCTCACAACAAGATCACCGGTTGCTTTTGTTGTTGGTGTCACTACAGAATCATCTGATAGTTCTGCTTCTCCAGACTGAAGTTCTGTCAATATCCTCTGCGACCTTAACATATGCATCGTTGAAGGAGGGGCTAGCTGATGATTGTGGTCTGCTTTAAAATCAGTTACTCTATACTTGCACTCTGGTGTGACTTTTATAATCAATCTCGCCGGGCAACCGATTCGTGTATCCAATCTTGGCTTCTTTGCTTCCAGTGATTTTTTATCCCTGTTGTAGCCTTCTCTTGAGCACACAAAAGTTCTTACTTTGGTAATATTTTCTGAAGATTTGTGTGATGTACTTTTCCTAACGCTAAAGCCAACATGCCCAGCATATTTGTTGTAGAATTCGTATGCCTTTTCCTCACTCACAAATTCCATGCCTACCTCTGGAACCAGCTTCGCAAGTGAAGCCTCATCTATGGGTGGTTCAGCTTCTATCATTCTTCTCATTTTCCCCTGGAAACGAATCATAAAATGTTTTAGCAGTAGGTAAGGGCACAATGAGGCATATTTCATTGCAGATTTTACTCAACATGCCAAAATGGGAGGAAAATGACCATTAGAACAGCAATGTTAGCCATAATGGAAGAAACATATGTGTGATGTCTCTTATGGTTGCTATAAGTAGCATGTGCCATATGGTCTTCGATCCTAACATGCTAGATCAAAGTTACTCAAAGACAGAAAAAAATGATTTCCCAGTTTTCAGGGGGGGTGTATAGAGTGACTAAAACACTGCACTATGCAGATCAAGGAGGCGAACAGTCAGAACATTTGACACGTAATTCAATTATTTCATGATTGTCAAAGATAACGGGTCAATAGTTCCTTTTGGAAAGAAGTTGTACCGCTGCAGCCAAAAATGTATGACCCGGCATTCTGCATTAGAAGTGCTATGGTTGCAACCTGTGATCGCAAGAAAAACGACAATACATAACCTCCAGCTGATAAGGGATAAAATAGTCCTTACAGTGCATGACATTTAGTGCAAATTAAGGCACCAACAGTAGTATTGAAAAGATAGTGCTTGTGAATCATAAAGTTAACTCTATGTGAAGCTATAACATCTCCAATAGTTGATAAAGAGAGCCCCACAACATTCAATTGCAAAACAAGTGTGGCCGAGCAAGCAACATATAAAAACAACTCTGTCATGACTGCTTCAGAACAAAAGAGCATGGCTTTACCTTCCTGTAAGCAATGCCACACGCATTGCAAAGAGTTCTTGGGCCATCAGGCCCACGCCGCATATGGGGCGTTGCATTGCCGGATATTCCGCACCGCAGGCACCTGATGGAATCACAGTAAAGGAATGAGAGAATCAAACAACGGGATTTAACACAACCATTTCTGAAATACGAGAAGCATAAAAATAAGAAGTCCAAAGTGGAGCGGACTGTCACTGCTCCTCAGAAAGCAAGCAAGGAACGCCAAGAGGCGAGACCATTCCTTCGGCCAGCACCATCGACGGCGAAGCACAGCAGTGATTTGCAACAAGCACAGCAACCGAGCAGCTCTTGGGCGCGGCCACGTACCGCACGTGGCCCTCGAGGCCGTCATCGGCGTTATCGCGGAGGAGCTCCAGCTCCTGCTCCGCCGGCGGCGCGCCGTACGGCTGCAGCTCCCCTCCGCCCCCATCCGGGGCCACTAGCATGTGCATCATTGCATCACCGCCCTGCCATGGCCAAATCCGCATAAAAGAAAATCCTCCAAAAATATAAAAAAATCGAAAAAAAATAGCGAACGAGTTGGATTCGGACTGGAGGAGGTACCGAGAGGTAGTCTGTAGCGAAATTGTGAGCGATTTTCGCGAATTTTTTCGGCTGTTCCGGATTGGAGTTAGGGTTTGGAGCGGGGAGACGACGAGCAGACGCAGGGGAGTAGGAGCGGAGGGGTCAGCGGGATCCGGTGCGGCAACGGGGTAGGTGGCCCTTGTGCGGCAGCGTCCAACATCCGACGCGTGTACTCGTCCGGCCTCAGATGGGGGCCAGACTCGTTGTTCCATGTCTCACTGGCATGTGGGGTCAACGTGGCCCACCTGCCAGGAGCCGCTGAGTGAAAAGGAGCAGAACGGAGTAGCCGAGAAAGGGGACAAGCGGTCAAGCAGCGGAAGGCGAGAGAGTCGGAGCGCGACGAGGCCACCATGAGCACTCTCAAGTTCTGCCGCGAATGGTAAAAGCGACGAAATTTTTGGCATTCGTGTCCACTGTCTGCTCTTCGGTATAGGAATCGTGGTGGTTTGGTTCATATTTTCATTGTCTTTGCTCTGTTTTCGCCGCAGCAACAACATGCTGTACCCGCGGGAGGACAAGGAGACGCGCACCCTCCTCTACGCATGCCAATCTTGCGAGGATGAGGTGGATCCCTTGTTCGTCCTCAGATTTTATTATTGATTCGGGAAACCCTAGGTTCCCCTAGGGAGCGGGGTTCAGGTTGGTTATTTGAACAGCATACAGTATCCCGTTTAGCATGTGGGTTTAGGCTGGGTTTAGTGATCTGTTGTGTAAGGATGGATGCGGATATGGTCTGGTGGTACATTGTTTCTGTTGTGATTTCTTCATTCACGGTGAATGCTTTAGGCTGGCAATCACGCTATTGCCTTTTCTGCACCTGAATTTTGGTTTGTGATGGTACCTCCTTTGGTTCTGCTGGAAGTGCTGGTGCTTTCTTTCTTGAGCTTACACGGTGACTCATTGTTGCTTTAACTGTTACCTAAAAAAGTTCAGTTCGGCTCAAAATACTGCTGTATTTACAGCCTTTCTGGTTTGTGGTCTCCTAACAACGTGACCAGTGTCTGTGATACAAGCCTAACCCATGTTCAAGAAATACCCCTTAGTCAAAATGAAGCTGAAATGTCTATAAAATTGTTTGTTGTAGACTTAGTTAAGTAGTGAGAAAATGAGTTTGCAAGGTTCTGAGATGCTTGAGGGTTCTAGGTTCCTTGACCAAGAAGAATTTCATGCCAAGAAAGTAGTATCCCGATCAATTCTGATGCTTTATTTGCCACGTCTCGCCTTATCATCCTAACTCTGTGACCTGTGCATGTATAGGGGGGGTGTGGTGGCTTTTGCCTTGTGGGTGCATAGACCCACTCATTGTTTTGGCATAGAAGGTGCATATATGGTGAAATTTTAGCCAAAGTCATGATTTTTTATATTTTTGATTGAGGGGGTGTATTCGCCCCTGGATGAAGGTGAAGGAGAGCCCAGCTTGAAACTGAATGGTTTTTAAATGAAGTCATGTATTGCCCTTGCTGATGCTTTTGAAGTTTACAGAACATATGAAGTAGATAGTTTTTAAGGTTTTCTTATTTCCCTAGATGCTCTTTCTTTTGTGTGCAGTGAAGTGTGAGCTTTTCTCATTGTTTATTTTAACATACAATTTTCATCCAAATTTTACATTCAATTAACAAGCTTGCTCGTAGTTTCGCTGACCATTCCGTTTGTAAATCATTGATGTGAACAGGAGATTGCCACTGATACTTCTGTATACAAAAGGGTTATCCGTAAGCCTGTTGGTGAACCCAAAGATGTCCTGAAGGATGCAACAACTGATCCTAGTCTGCCTTGCACCAGAAGTGTTAGATGTTACAACTGCAACCATCCAGAAGCTGCTTTTTTTTTCAGGTTTGTATCCAAATGCTTTTTATGTGCTTTTGTTGTCGCTAAAGGTGATGGCTGTGTTATGTCATCTATACAGCTAATGCGAAAAGCATGTTGGAGTTTATTAGTACACTGATATTCATAATAATAGTGCGTGCTGTTACATGATTTATTCAGAATTATTGTGTCTAGGGAGGGTTTGCATCTGCAGCCAAAGCCAAATTGGATGAGAATAAAAGCTCGAATCAACCTGTCCAGATGGAACCAAATCAGTATTCCACAAAATTTCCATTTCCTTGGAATCATAATCCGTCATATTGTTCAAGAAGCTTGGTCCCAAATGCTGGCAGGATCCCTAATCAGTTATGATTGTTAGCTAATCTACTGCCACCTTATGTGAAACACAGCAGAGGAAGGCGGCGTCGACTTTGCCCCCTGCTGTAATACAGTAGCCGCTCGAGCATGGAACGCCAAGCTTGACACCACGCTGGGCGAGCTTGGGTTTCAGAGGTGCGCAACCGAGCACGCGCTCTACACGCGACGACGGGGGAAGGAAGAACTCGTGGTCGGTGTGTATGTGGATGACTTAATCGTCACCGGCGTGCGCACGGAGGATATCAACAGCTTCAAGCGAGAGATGGCAGCTCGTTTCCGAATGAGCGATCTCGGCGCTCTCCTACTACATCGGCATCGAGGTGAGACAGCGGAAGGAGAAACTCACGCTCGGGCAAAGCGCGTATGCCTCCAAGCTGTTGGAGAGGAGCGGCATGGTGGAGTGCAAGCCATGCGTGACTCCGATGGAGGAGCGGCTGAAGCTGACGAAGGACAGCACCGCGGCAAAAGTAGATATAACACTCTACCAGAGCATCGTCGGCGGTCTGCGCTACCTAGTCCACACAAGGCCGGACATTGCGTTCGCCGTGGGCTACGTCAGTCGTTTCATGGAGGATCCCAGAGAGGATCACTAGGCTGCGGTGAAGCGGCTTCTACGCTACGTCAAGGAGACGGTGAATCATGGAATCATCTTTCCAAAGACCAGGGGAAGTAGGCTGCAGCTCACGGTATTCAGCGATGCAGACATGGCGGGGGACATCGACGGACGACGGAGCACCTCTAGCGTACTTTCGTCTTCCTCGGGTCGGCCCCAATTTCATGGTTGTCGCTAAAAAGCGAGGTGGTGGTGCTATCTACGTGCGCAGGGCGTAGTATGCGTGGCGATGTCCACAATGACGCGTGCCAAGTTGTGTGGCTCTGGCCAAAATTTGCTGGGCGAAAGCTAACCGGCGTGGAAGCTCACCCACCAAAGATCGATGGTGGACAACCACCCGCCATCGCCCTCGTGAAGAATCCGGTTCGCACGACCGAGTAAACACATTGACGTGAAGTTCCACTTCCTCGTGGACTGTGTGTTGATGGAGGCGATCGTCATCGAGTTTGTCGGCGGTCGGCCAACTTCGCGGACGTTCTCACCAAGCCGCTTCGACGACTTCGACTCACGGAGTGAAGGAGATGATCGGCATGAAGAGGGTGCAAGGGTTAGCAGTAGGATTAGGGAAAGATTGTTAGTTAATCTATTGCCACTTTGTGTGAAACACAGCAGAGGAAGGCGGCGCCGACTTTGCCCCTCTCAGTATACAAGATGTCAGCGCAGTCTGCAAGCGCCATAAAGGCTCACCTGCAAAGATCAGAGGCACATGCAAAGGGCAGTGCAGAGTCGACCACATATGTTTATCTAGTTCTTTATTCTGACATAAAGATGTGCTACCATACTTTAGTTAGATAGATAGAGTTGTATAAATAGGGCACCAAGGCAACTCAGTAAAGAGAGCTCAGATTTGTCATCACACAGACAGGACCTCGGCCAACGTTGTTGTCCTGTATTGTGTGTACTTGCTCTGTTCTCCCTTCTTCTTCTAGCTCGATTCGTAGTGTGTGGGTACGAACACAACCGGTATAGTGGTCTGGGAGACTAGTGGCCTGGAGACTAGTGGTCTGGTCTGGGAGACTAGTGTGGTCTGGTCTGGAAGACTAGTGGTCTGGGAAGACTAGTGGTCTGGGAGACTAGTTCACCATCGTCAGACGGTGATCTCGTGGGCCAACAAGTGGTATCAAAGCCGTGCAAGCGCCGTCGTCATTCTAACCGACGGCGATGACAGGCGGTTTGGAGTTGGGCGATGGCAGTGACACTGTCATAGCTACCCAGCCACTACCGGAGGTAGTTGTCCGCACGGTACGGGAGGTTAGCGGCACCACTTGGCCGACGCTGACTCGCACTAACTATGGAGAGTGGTCGGTGACCATGAAGGTCAAGCTCAGAGCCCGACGGCTCTGGAATGCTGTTGACAAGGGCACCGACGTGGAAGAAGACGACATGTCGTCGTTGGAGGCTATCATCGCTGCTTTGTCTGCGTAGTCTGAGGAACCGTTAGGGACGAAAAGCTCAGCTAAGGAGGCGTGGGAGGCCATTGCGGCAATGCGCGTCGGTTCCGACCGCGCAAAGAAGGCGACGGCACAGCTTCTGAAGCAGGAGTACGCAAACCTCAAGTTCAAGGATGGTGAAACGGTGGAGGACTTTTCCCTCCGCCTGCAGACGCTCATCAGCAAGCTGAAGAGCCATGGCGTCACCATCGACGAAGAGGAGGCGATCTCCAAATTCCTCCACTCCGTGCCGGCAAAGTACATCCAGATCGCTCTCTCCATAGAGACGATGCTGGACTTATCCACCCTCACCATCGAGGATGTGGCAGGCCGTCTGCGGGCGGTGGACGGCGCTGGGGCGGCGGCGACAACGAACGGCGACGCGGAAAACTTCTGGCACGACGGAAGAGGAGTGGGCTGCTCGGCGAAACTCTCGTGAAGGCAGCCTCCTCCAATCGCGGTGGCAACGGCAAACATCGCGGCAGGGCTTCTTCGGAGAAGAAGCAAATCGACTCCAACGCCTGTCGGTGTTGCGGGAAGATGGGCCATTGGGCATGGGAGTGCCCAAATCGCAAGAAGGAAAAAAAGGCTTAGGCTTACCTGGCGAAAGCCGATGATGAGGATGAGACAACTATCTTTATGGCGATGTTCTGTGCACTGCACGACGTCGAGGCCATGGAGAGGGAAGATGCGACGACGGTGGAAGGATCTAGCAAGGCCCTGAAGACCGTCAACCTCGACGAACCACGTGCCCAAGTCCATCTTGGGCATGTGGGTGTCGACCGAGAGCGATGGTGGTATCTCGACTCGGTGCCATAACCACATGATGGGCTCCAAGGACTCCTTCTCGAGCTCGACGGTGATGTTACTTGATGCGGTGAAGTTTGGTGACGGCTCAAGGGTGGCTATCAAAGGCGCGCCACACCATTATCTTCGATGTCGAATGGGGAGCACCACAAGCTAACGGATGTATACTACATCCCGCAATTGCGTTCAAAGATCATCGCATTGGTCACCGGGATGAGCGCGTAGCGCGGTTTCGATCAAGGACGACGCTCGAGGATCGAGACCGGAGCGGCGACTTCGCCAAGGTGAAGAGGTCCTCGAACCGGTTGTACCGCCGACCAAGGTAGAGCGGCGGTTTGCTCTAGCGGCAAGGCACTCCGAGGAACCGTGG